AAAAAATAAATAAAATAAGGTGGTATTCGGAGAGCTTGCAAAAACAAACTAAGAGATATGTATACCAGTCAAATAATTAGAGAATTGGGTAGAATATAAATAGTATGAGACCTGATTCATTAGACCTAATCACGATCATCCTTCCACACTAAATATCCTTTTAAAGGTTAAAATATATGAGACAATATACAATAAACCTTTAAAATGGTCTTCCTAACTCATAATTTAACTTTCTGTATTACCACAGTAATGAATTACTGGGAAATGCTGTGAAAAACAATCCCCCAAAGCTGTGGTGAAATCAATCAGAGGCCCGATTGGCCTCTTAGGTGAGTATCTGGCATACAGGAAATGCATACTAGATATGCATGCAATGTGTGAGAGAACATCCCAACATCTCCAATTAAAATGCATGCCTTGGCACAATTACAAGATTGTACATGGGTAAAGTCTTTAAATGTGCTTGTAAACCATGAAAATGTTGAATATTTTATTTTCCACTACTCTTTTCTTTATCTGTTTTCATCATTAAAGATAGATCTTCATTGGTCATTGCGGATATGTCCTTCACTGGGAAAGTGACATAAAAAGTAAATTCATTGTCTGAGTGTCAAGAGACTCAGTTGACCTCAACAAAGAACTAATAGATAACAAAATCTTTATAGAAAATGGAAAATGGTTTTACATAAATGATCCATATAAGAAATAGCTGTCCTTGACCCAGCACATACATACTACTGTGCACATGTGATGGGTTGCATCATGGCCACTTCAAATAAAGACGCTTAGACTTTACTTGAGGTTTTTATTCCTGTGTAGCCCTGAGAAAGTCAAAGATCTTCGATCTCAGTTCAGCTTGGTAGATCTTCTAATTCAAAGTAGCTCAATAATTTCATTTCCCTTCTGAATTTTGGTGACCAGCAGGATTAAGCTGACTGGAAGACAGTGCAAGTGAGACTTGGGGAATATTGAAAGTCTCTGTATCTGCTGCTCAATTTGTTGCCAATTTATAATTGCTATAAAAATAAGCTCTATTTTTAAAAATGAAGAAAAGTTGCATTCTTGCACAGCTGCTTTATCTATAAAACACACCTGAGGCCCCCCCCAAACACACACACGTGCACAGCTACAGGTGCAAACTAGATTGAGTTGACCTGCATATAAAGTGATGTGGAACAAGTGATTCAACATTTTTATGTCTTAATTTTATCCTCCATAAAATGAAGAAATTGGGCCAGGTCTCTTTCATAATTTTGATTCTTCTGAAACTATTAGAAAGTATATATCTATGTAAAAAAACTAACCCGTTTTATAGAGTCAGGCCTGGAAAGAATAAGGAAGGGGAAATGAATATTCCCCTTCAAAGGCACATAACAGCACTTATGCTGGACCACGCAGCACCCTGCTCTACTTCACACATATGTGCATATCTAATCCTGATCATCAAAAAGTAGGTGCTATTACTATGCCCATTTAACAGATGAGGATCCTGAAGCATCAGGTTAAGAAGTGTAATTTGTTCAAGGATTATAAATAGTAGGGTTAGGATACAAATTCAGGCAGCTTGGCTTCAAAATCAGTGCTCTTATCCACTCTGCTACATGCCTAAGAGTCTCAGAGCCCACATTATCTACACGGAGAACACGGCATATTTCAAACTCATGGGAGTTTTCCAGCAACCCACACATTAACCAAGGACATAGGGTGGGCTGAACAAACATGTAGTCTTCATAAGGAAACCAATCTCAAAACTCCTGACACTGAAAATTTGACCCCCCAAAAATACTGTAACTCTGACATTCCATTTACCATTATATTGATATTTGCTGATATACTTTGAAAATGTAATTCTCATGAGGAATTCAAATATTTTGTCCAGCCTTCTTAGTACAGTCTAAATTTCATCTGAATTTTCTTCCTGCCTTTCAAAGACCTTTAATGGACCTAGCTACTTACCCTTAATTTATAAAATGTCTTTCACTCTAAGCTGTAAGATACTTAAAGATTGGGACTTTATTCATCTTAATTCTCACTCTGTCTGCAGTGGGTAAGATACTAGACATTCAATAAGAATTTATAAATGAGTGAATACAAAACCAACAAATGTTTGCAGAATTACTAATACAAAATTTTAAACTCTTTTTTAGAAAAACAGCCGATTTTCTTGTTTCCTTTTATTGCAACAAAATTACATGTTTATTACCTGTAGTATCTATTGATCAGTTTATTTAGTATATGACAAATCACCACCTGAATTTTCTGACACAGGCTGATTTTTATTTGATTTTGCATATTAATATAATATT